TCCCCCATGCTGGCTCAGGAATTCTGGGAGTTGAATTCCACCAGTCATGAGGGAGCCATTGTTCGCCCATGCTGGCTCAGGAATTCTGGGAGTTGAAGTCCACAAGTCATAAAGAGGCCATAGTTCCCCCATGCTGGCTCAGGAATTCTGGGAGTTGAAGTCCACAAGTCATGAAGGGGCCATAGTTCCCCCATGCTGGCTCAGGAATTCTGGGAGTTGAAGTCCACGAGTCACGAAGGGGGTCATAGTTTCCCCATGCTGGCTCAGGAATTCTGGGAGTTGAAGTCCACCAGTCACGAAGGGGCCATAGTTCCCCCATGCTGGGTCAGGAATTCTGGGAGTTGAAGTCCACTAGTCATAAAAGAGCTAAGGTTGCCTACCCCTGGTATAGGGTTTCCTGCCCGAGCAGGGGGTTGGACTAGATGACCTCCAAGGTCCCTTCCAACTTTATTATTATTGTTATTATTATCATCATTATTATTACTTTTCTCAGTGCCGTTGTAACTTCAAACGGTTGCTAAACAAATGGTCGTAAACTGAGGACTTTGCAATTTTTTTTCAGTCTCTCCTCCCCATGGTTTTTCTTCCTAGGGTTTTGGCTGGGCATGCTGATTTGCACCCTGATCCCCTGTATCTGCTCCATCACTTACATTATCCGGATGAACTGGCTGCAGGCAGCTGAAGAGGTAATACCGGCTCCTCCTCCGCTCCAACCACTAGGGAACACTCCCCCCGCATTCGATTTCTAGTTCCGTTTTCCTTCCCATCCCAGTCCTTCTCGCTCGTTTTGCACTGCTCGACTTACGACCATCACCAGCCCAGTCTTATAAGTCATAACTCACGCCAGTCATTAAACAAGTCGCCGTGTAACCACGCCTAGTTTGATGACCTGTTTTTTTTTAACAGCGGTTCTTAAGTAAAGCAAACACTGTGGTCCTTACACAAACATCACGGTCATTAATAGGGTTTCCTGCCTGAGCAGGGGGTTGGACTAGAAGACCTCCAAGGTCCCTTCCAGCTCCTATTCTATTCTATTCTATTTTTCCTGTTTCCATTCTATTCTATTCTATATTCTATTCTATTCTATTCTATTCTATTCTATTCTATTCTATTCTATTCTATTACATTCCATTCCATATATTCTATTCTATTCTATTCTATTCTATTCTATTCTATTCTATTCTATTCTATTCTATTCTATTCCATTCCATATATTCTATTCTATTCTATTCTATTCTATTCTATTCTATTCCATTCCATATATTCTATTCTATTCTATTCTATTCTATTCTATTCTATTCTATTCTATATTCTATTCTATTCTACTCTACTCTACTCTATTCTATTCTTTCTGTTTCCATTCTATTCTATTCTATTCAATATTCTATTCTATTCTATTCTGTTCAATATTCTATATTCTGTTCTATTCTATTCTATTTTTCCTGTTTCCATTCTATTCTATTGTGTTCAATATTCTATTCAATTCAATTCAATATTCAATATTCAATATTCAATATTCTATTCTATTCTATTCTTCCTGTTTCCATTCTATTCTATTCAGTATTCTATTCTATTCAATATTCTTCTATTCAATATTCTATATTCTGTTCTATTCTATTCCAATATTCTATATTCAATGTTTCCATTCTATTCTCTTCTATTCAATATTCTCTTCTATTCTTCCTTATTCTATTCTATTCTATATTCTATTCTATTCACTATTCTATTCTATTCAATATTCTATATTCTATTCTATTCAATATTCTATTCTATTCTATTCTTCCTGTTTCGTTTCTATTCTATTCCATTCCATTCCATTCCGTAATTCTATTCTATTCCATTCTATTCTATTCTATTCTATTCTATTCCAGTCCAAATTCTATTCTATTCTGTAATTCTATTCTATTCTATTCTATTCCATTCCATTCCATTCCATAATTCTATTCTATTCTGTAATTCTATTCTGAATTCTATTCTGAATTCTATTCTATAACTGTAATTTCAAAGGTGTGAACTTAAATAGACTCCAGAAGATGGTAGAGGACAGGAAGACCTGGAGGAACGTTGTCCATGGGGTCGCGATGGGTCGGACACGACTTTGCAATTAACAACAACAAATAATTTCTTGAACTCCACATGCCTTATGAAATTGTCTATATATTTCCATCATACGCGTATCATAGCGATATGTGCTCCTTTTATATATATTATATATTATTCCTGTTATCTACATATTCTGTGCCTTACGCCAAGTAATTAAGTAAACCTGTAATCTCCTGATTGTAAACAGCCCAGATTAGAGTCACTGTGTGGTGAGAGTTGGGTGGCCATATAATTTTTTTAAAAAAATAAATACATTTAATAAAATCTCTACCGTTCGGGCTCCTTCTTCCCTTTTAGGCACAGCACCGTGCGAAACTGTCGCAGAAGCCGGTGGAAGATTTGAACTCGGCTCCCCGGCCAGACAAAACCGTCTCTTCTTCCGATATCGAAGGCAAAGCAGGGTTTGGAGGTGAGCAAAGGAGCCCCCCCCCCCAAAAGCACTTAAAGCAAACCGGCCAACTTTAGTTGGATTCGGGCCTGAAAAAAAGTATTGATTTTAAGATAGGGAATTTTGGACTCCATTGCGGACGTAAGTCGAGGACTTCCCGTAGCTGAATGCGAGACCCACCTGTCCTTTTCTGTTCCAGGACTCACCGATGCCCAGAACGGCGTCGTGCTGCTGAGTTTCACTGTCATAGATGGCCCAAACTTGCCGGACAAGAAGGTAGCCAGTGTCCCCAGGACAGGCCAAGTTCTGACCACAAAACAACTGATTGTGAGACGGGGACTGGCGGTGGCTGCCGCCGTGGGCATTCTAGCCGTCGGAATATTGATACGAATATTCACGGTGGACAATTAGCGGCTGGAATAGACCTCCTCGAATCCAAGGCAAGGAAACAGGAGTGAGACGCCCAGCGCCAGCAGCCTGATTCATCCAACAGGGGGCGCCAGTGGGAGTCATACTCAGAGCTTCCACCAGGGGGCGCCCATCTCAAGCCAAACATTGGGGAAGGCTGGCCAACGTTTTGCTCGTTCTTGCAGAGCCAAGGTGCCCGAATGACGCAAAGACTATTTTTTTTTGGGGGGGGGGGGTTGTTAAGAAAGTTTTATTTCCATCCCACAGCTGTCTGCTGTAGATAACCCGACGTGTGGCCACGTTTATTCCATGTAATCTTTCCAGATAAAATCTTTTAGTAGTAATTTGTGCGTTTCTGTTTATGCTTTTTTTTTAAAAAAAATAGACTTGGAAGAAAAGCAGGTTAGAAAAGGTTAGCAAACAAACAAATCTGGACCCGAGGGGGTCAAAAAAGTCAAAATGGCGGCTCCCAACCCCACATTACCCAAGTTTTATCCTTGTTTACTTGTGATCGCAAGGATGGAGCTTCAAGGGTGATTGGGGGGGGGGTGTCTGTCATGGTTCCGACAGATGAAACTCTTCAAAAGAACTTCCGAGGCATTGTTTACCTTAAAGAATCTTTATTTTGAGTAGCATAACATCGGCACTGCATAATCGAAGCCAAAAACTGAATTCCCCTCCCCTGAGCACATAGTATCCAAGCACAATTCCCTCCTCCAATTAACCGTCATAAATCACATTCCCACAATTAGCTTGAAGCATGTGCAGGCTTCCTCTCCAGTTCTCCAGCCTGGCCAAATCCTTATCAGCTCTGGTTACAATAACCTTGTTCCTCACCCTAGGTTTGGTGTTGTTATGTCTAGCTGGACTCTTGTTCACATCTCCCCTCCCAGCATCATCTAACTCTTAAAAGCAAAAGGTACATTTTCAATGCAAAAACATTCAATGTTAGCAGCGTTGACAGGGTCACTATTTTGACTTTTTTTGACCGCCCTGCAGATGCCAGTAGCCATTTGGGGGGGGGGTTAATTTAAAGAGATGAACCGATGCAGCAGGCAAAGTATTTAATTTAGGATTCATTTGGCTTTTGCAATGTGGTTTTAGCTGCGGTTTGATCCAACAAAGCTCTGAGGATCTTATCTAGGAACTCAGAAGCGCTATTTATACACAGACCATAATCTAAATAGGATTAGGCTAGTTTACGGGGTTTATGCCTCAGCTTCCAGCGTTTGGAAAATTCTCTCTTCTTTTCCGCCAACCGTAGCTTCATTCCTGGGTTGGAACCCTCCATCCGCTTACTATTAATCCTAGTCTGTTTGATGTTTGCTCGTTTCACACATACGGGGGTTGAACTATTGGCCGAGGGATGCATATATTGCACGCTCAGGATTTACGTTCAAGAACTGCCCTATCGGAGCTCCTGTACAATGGAATTTATTGCGGCTGGGGATGGTGGGAATTGAAGTACAGCAACACGGCGCCTCTGATGAATAGAATCTGGGTCTAATACATCATTCTCAAAGCTCCGGACGTCTTCCTGGCTAGCCTTTCTCAGGCTTGGCAGCTGAACAATGGATGGACTTCAACACCCAGAATTCCCCAGCCAGCCATATTGTCTGGGGGATTCTGGGAGTTGAAGTCCACAAGCCTTAAAAGTAATAACTTTTTCAGGCCCGAATCCAACTAGAGCTGGTCTGTTTGCTCTAAATGCAAACTGAATTCTTACTTCTTGAAACTCCTCCCATGTGGATCCACTCCAAAGCCCAGCAGCCACTACCCGCTGTGATTGCTGGGTGTTGTAGTTCTGGGAATTGAAGTCCACAGGTTTCAAAACTAATAACTTTTTCAGCCCCCCGATTCAATTAAAGCTGGTCTGTTTGTTCTAAATGAAAAATGAATTTTTTACTTCTTGGAACTCTTTCCATGAGGCTCCACTCCAAAGCCTAGCAGCCACCACCCGCTGGGGTTTCTGGGTGTTGTAGTTCTGGGGAATTGAAGTTCCAGCTGCCAAGCCTGAGATACAGAAATATCTTTGTGGAGGACAAACCAGGACAAAATCACTTGCCCTCAGAGCAAAGAAACACTTAAAAAAAAAATCAAAATCAGTGCAAACGGGTCCCCATTTTATTCTCTGCCATAACACGGCTATAAAATGCAAAAGGTTTGATTGCTCCTTTCAAAGAAAAGAAAAGAAAAATTGTTAAGAAGCTGCTATCTCCCAAAAGGCAATGAAAATTTTATTTCCCCCCCACCTCACACAGAACAAGCTTCCTTTAAAAAAGACTCAATTAAGAAAAATATCTTGAAAATTCAACAATGGGGGCCTCTTTCTAGCTTCTCTGCTTATAAATCTCTTTTCCTTGAAATTCTGTTCTCTCTTTTCTTTGGTGCAAATTGTCCCTTCCCGGAGAGAAGATATAGAAGAATATATATTTATATAAGATATATTCTCACCCAAGGAATCGGCCTTTGGTGCTTCTGCTCTCTGTGTTGAATGATTAAGAAGAAATTGCGTTAACTCTTGTAAGTTAGTGTTAGAAAAACCCGACAGGCATACACACAAACACACAACTCCGCCTGGATCAACGTTGTGTTATGGCCGCTGCGGAATCTCCCTCTCAGAAAAGGACAACCTGTGAAAATTGAGAATAAATAATATTAATATTATGAATAATATTGATATTATGATCAATAATTATAATCAATAATTATAATATTATTATATTGATTAATAATAATAATAATGTTAACTAAGTCATTTTCTGCAGGGTGATAAATTGCTTCATGTTATTGCTTGGAGAAAAGATTGATATAACTGTGAGAACCACTTAATAGAATAATAATAATAATAATAATAATGATGATGATGATGATGATGATGTTGTTGTTAACTAAGTCATTTTCTGCAGGGTGATAAATTGCTTAATGTTATTGCTTGGAGAAAAGATTGATATAACTGTGAGAACCACTTAGAATAATAATAATAATAATAATGATGATGATGATGATGATGATGTTAACTAAGTCATTTTCTGCAGGGTGATAAATTGCTTCATGTTATTGCTTGGAGAAAAAATTGATATAACTGTGAGAACCACTTAACACGGGTGTCAAACTCAATTTCATTGAAGGCCGCATCAGCGTTGCGGTTGCCCTGGGGGGGGGGTGGCCAGGGTGGGTGCGGCCTACTGGGTGGGCGTGGATGGAGTGGGTGTGGCCTATTGGGTGGGCATGGCCAGCTCTACATCGTTCGCGTCAAGGGTGCCTGTGGGGGCCTGGGCAGGAGTGGGACAGATCTGGGAGTCTCTGGCAGAAGGGGGGGACTGGGGCAAGCGTCAAAGCATGGTGCATTTCTTCATTCCTCACAAAGGGGGACACCTCCCCAGCATGCACCCAGGGGGCGGGACCAATGCAGCAGGGGCTGGTTCCTCGCTGTTTCCAGACGGCCTTGTGGAGCTAAGACTGAATGCGTTTCAGCATAGATGGCCACCACAAAATTGTGCATTGGTTCCCGGCTGGCCTGGGCCCGGGCCAAGGCAGCGGGGGCCATTCCCTCACTGTTTCCAGGATGGCTTTGCGGGCCACATCTGGCCCCCGGGCGTTGTGTTTGACATGTCTGATCTAGGCAATATATTTAATGGTTTTTGATTTATTAAAGGGGATATTGTGTTATTAAGTAGACGATTTAATATGGTGGGAAATTGATAACTCTTAGGAAATAGAACAAGATTATATTTAAATAGATAAAATGTGTATTTTCGATATTATATAGTTTGTTATCTAGTGAAATAAGGGAAATTTGGGTTACCCCAAGTTCTGAAAATTATAAATATCAAAGGTTAAATTGGAATATTGACGAGAAATTTAAAAAAATTGTGTTTGTCATGTCTGACTTAACAGAATAACAGAGTAATAATAATAATAATAATAGTAATAATGATGATGATGATGTTGGAAGGGATCTTGGAGGGCATCTAGTCCAACCCCCTGCTCAGGCAGGAAACCCTATACATTTAATATATTTAATTATACATTTAATATAATTAATTATACATTTAATATATTTAATTATATTATTTATATATAATTATATATTAAATGTCTGCATTGAAAAAAGGGACAGAGATATAGGCAAGTCCTTGGCTGACGATTGTAATGGGGACAAGAATATATGTTGTTAAGCAGGGCGGTTGTTAAGCAAATCACCCATTTTTTGCCACTTTTGTTAAGGTAATCACTGTAGTTGTTAAGCGAATCATGGGGTTGTTAAGCGAATTCGGCTTTCCCCCACTGACTCTGCTTCTCGGAAGCCGGCTGGGAACGTTCCAAATGGGACATTGCGTGATCCTGGGGTGCTGCAACAGTCATTTAAGTACACGCCAGTTGCCCAAATTTTTTATTTTTGGTCATGGGACCATGGGCATGCTGCAACGGTTGTCGGTGCGAAGACAAGCCAGGAATCCCTTTTTTCAGTGTCGTCATAACTTCGAACGGTTTTTCAACCCGTGATCAGAAGTCAAGACATACCTGAACCAGGGGTGGGACGTCAAAGAAACGTTGAGTGAGGTCAGATAAAATGGGTCAGCTAAAATTAGGATAATACTCAAAATGGCCAGAATACTGTATATGATTATAAACATGATAATAATAAAAGAATAGAATATGTGGAATTCAAGAAATTATATAGAGGTTATAAGTTACATTTTGAAATAACGTTAGTTCATGAAAATAGAATAGAGTAGAGTAGAGTAGAGTAGAATAGAATAGAAATGAAAAAATATGGAATGGAATGGAATAAGAATATAATAGAATAGAATAGGAATAGAATAGAATAGAATAATAATAATAATAATAGTAAAGTTGGAAGGGACCTTGGAGGTCATCTAGTCCAACCCCCTGCTCGGGCAGGAAACTCTACACCATTTCGGACAAATGGCTGTCCAGTCTCTTCTTAAAAACTTCCAGTGTTGGAGCATTTACTGCTTCTGGAGGCAAGCTGGTCCACTGATTAATTGGTCTCACTGTCAGGAAGTTTCTCCTTAGTTCTAGGTTGCTTCTCTCCTTGATGAGTTTCCACCCGTTGCTTCTTGTCCTGCCTTCAGGTGCTTGGAAAATAGCTTAATTCCCTCTTCTTTATGGCAGCCCCTGAGATATTGGAATACTGCTATCATGTCCCCCCTTGTCCTTCTCTTCGTTAAACTAGACATACCCAATTCTAGCAACCGTTCCTTATATGTTTTAGCCTCCAGTCCTCTAATCATCTTTGTTGCTCTTCTCTGTACTCTTTCTAGAGTCTCAAAATCTTTTTTACATCGTGGTGACCAAAACTGGATGCAGTATTCCAAGTGTGGCCTTACCAAGGCATTGGAGAGTGGTATTAATACTTCACGTGATCTTGATTCTATCCCTCTGTTAATGCAGCCTAGCACTGTGTTGGCCTTTTTGGCAGCTGCAGCACACTGCTGTCTCATATTTAAGTGATTGTCTACTAGGACTCCGAGGTCCCTCTCACAGTTACTACTATTGAGCATGGTGCCACCTATGCTGTACGTGTGCATTTGGTTTTTCTTGCCTAAATGTAGAACCTTGCTTTTTTCACCATTGAATTTCATTTTGTTAGTTAGTGCCCAGTGTTCAAGTCTGTCCAGATCCTTCTGTATCTTAAGCCTGTATTCTGGAGTGTTGGCTATTCCTGCCAGCTTGGTGTCGTCTGCAAATTTGGTGAGTTCCCCATCTATCCCTTCATCCAAATCGTTGATGAAGATGTTGCAGAGTACTAGGCCCAGAACAGAGCCCTGGGTCACCCCACTACACACTTCCCTCCATATAGATGCGGTTCCATTGAGGACCACTCGCTGAGTACGGCCGGTCAGCCAGCTACGGATCCATCTGGTGGTGGTTCCGTCTACCCCACATTTTTCTATCTTGTCAAGTAGTAGGTTGTGATCTACTTTATCAAATGCCTTACTGAAGTCCAAGTAAAGAATAGAATAGAATAGAATAGAATAGAATAGAATAGAATAGAATAGAATAGAATAGAATAGAATAGAATGGAATGAAATGAAATGGAATAATGAAAGAATGGAATGGAATGGAATGGAATGGAATAGAACGGAACAGAATAGAATGGAATAATGAAAGAATGGAATAGAAAAGAAAAAAATAGAAATAGAATAGAATGAAAGAATGGGATAGAAAAGAAATAGAATAGAACAGAATAATGAAAGAATACGGAAGCCCCTGAGATACTGGAAGGCTGCCATCATATCCCGCCTAGTCTTTCTTTTCTCTAGACTGGACATACCCAAATCTGGCAACTGTTCTTCGTATGTTTTAGCCTCTGGCCCCCTCATCATCAGACGGACTGACAGGTGCTGCAACTTGAGCTGAGCTCTGCACATCAACTTGAGCTGAGCTCTGCACATCAAGGGTAGCTCCTGATCCCATCCTAAAGACCCTTAATCCTCTTTTCCTGGCAGAAATCTGGAGTGAGCCGGCCCTGCTGTTTTCCGGCATGTGTTTTTTTTTTTTCCCCCCCAAATTCCCAGGCTATTTTCCAGCTGAGAGATTGCCTGGTTGTCTCTCATCCAAAGGCTAAACTTGATACAGTCCTGCTCAGCTTCCTAAAATCCGTGAGGCGCCCTTATCAACGAGAGGATAGGCAGTCCTCGACATACGGCCGTTGGTTGAACCCTTGGCGTTACGACAGGGCGGCCTTCAGCAGAAGGATTTGGGGCTGATTTGGAGGAAGGTGAAATGTGAGAAAATGAAGTGGGAAAAAGGGTCAGTTTTTTTCAGTGCCGCTGTAACTTTGAACGGTCACTAAATGAACTGCTGTATGTCGAGGACTGCCCGTAATTCTACCTTGGTTTTCTTTAGTATAGTCCTCCTATAAAAGGGGGTCACATTGTTCTCCAAAGCACCAGAGGGCAGGACGAGAAACAACGGTTGGAAACGGATCAAGGAGAGAAGCAACCTGGAATTAAGGAGAAACTTCTAGACAGTGAGGACAATCAACCAGTGGAACAGCTTGCCACAAGAAATCGTAGGCGCTCCATCTCTGGAGATTTTTAAGAAGAGGCTAGACAGTCACTTGTCTGAGATGGTCTGGAATAGTTTAATGAAGAGAAGGACCAGGGGTGACATGATAGCAGTCTTCCAGTATCTCAGGGACTGTCCCAAAGAAGAAGGAGTCAAGCTCTTCTCCAAAGCATTTGAAGGCATAAAAGGAAGCAACGGATGGAAACTTATCAAGGAGAGAAGCAACCTGGAATTAATGAGAAAATTCCTGAGGACAATCAACCAGTGGAACAGCTTGCCTCCAGAAATCGTGGCCACTCCATCACGGGAGGTTTTTAAGAAGAGAGTGGACAGTCACTTGTCTGAAATGGTATAGGTTCTCCTGCTTGAGCAGGGGGCTGGACTAGATGACCTCCAAGGTCCCTTCCAGCTCTATTCTATTCTATATTAAAGAAGAGTTTATTTATAGGCAGTCATTTACAGATTCAAAATTAATCAGTAAGTCTAATGAAATTGTACTAATCCAAGAGAGAAGCAACCTGGAACTAAGGAGAAACTTCCTGACAGTGAGAACAATTAACCAGTGGAACCACCTGCCTCCAGAAGCTGTGAATGCTCCAACGCTGAAAGTTTTTAAGAAGAGACTGGACAGCCACTTGTCTGAAATGGTATATGTTCTCCTGCTTGAGCAAGGGGCTGGACTAGAAGACCTCCAAGGTCCCTTCCAACTCTGATATTCTATTTTACTCTAACGGCAAGTCAAAACGAAAAGGCATGTAGCTGCCAAAGTTTCATTCTTGACAGCCTCATTTTACAATTTGTTCATGGTGGTCATGAAGTAAGACAAACGGTCTCTTAAACAAATCTGCCTTCCCCCATTGACTGGGCATGTTGGAAGGCCCAGGGAAGCTCCCATTGGGTGATCACCTGACCCCAGGATGCTACAACAGTCACAAGTCCATGCCAGTTGCCGAGCATCTGAATTTTGATCACATGACCACGGGGATGCTGCGAAGGTGCGCAATTGGTCATAACTCACCTTTTTCGGCGCCGCTGAAAAGGACTACAGGTGGTGCTCGACTTAACAACAGTTCATTTAACTACCTCACTTAACAACAGAAATTTTGTTCTCAATTGCGGTCGTATGCTGAGGACTTCCTTTACTTACAAGTAGTCCTTGACTTACAGCTATTTGTTTAGCAATCGTTCAAAGTCATAGCGACACGGAAAAAAGTGACCATTTTTCACACTTAGCGACCATCACAGCACCCCCCCCACGGTCACGTGACCAAAATTCAGACGCTCAGCAACTGGCTCATATTTATGACAGTTGCAGCATCCTGGGGTCATGTGATCCCCCTTTTGCGACCAGCGAAGTCCACAGGGAAGCCACATTTGCTCTGTGACTAACTTAACCGCTGCAATTACTCACTTAACGACAGTGGCAAGGTTGTCAAATGGGGCAAAACTTGCTTAATGACGGTCTCTTGCTTAACAACAGAAACCTGGGGATCAATTGTGAGCGTTAAAAGTCGAGGATGACGCGGTTGTTAAATAAGTGGTCAGCATGAGGGAACTATGGCTCTTTTATGACTTGTGGACGTCAACTCCCAGAGTTCCTGAACCAGCATGGGGAACTATGGCCATTTTATGACTTGTGGACTTCAACTCCCAGAATTCCTGAGCCAGCATGGGGAATTATGGCTCTTTTATGGCTTGTGGACTTCAACTCCCAGAATTCCCCAGCCAGCATGGGGAATTATGGCTGTTTTATGGCTTGTGGATTTCAACTCCCAGAATTCCTGAGCCAGCATGGCTGGCTCAGGAATTCTGGGAGTTGAAGTCCACAAGCCATAAAATAGCCAAGGTTCCCCACCCCTGACCTATAGCATTTCTGGAAGCATTGTGGGGCGGGCTCTATTTCTTGATTCGGCCTACCTCGGAGGGCTGACATCCCGACAGACCAGCCTGTGCAAAAGCATCCTGGCCAGGGCTCACCTTGATCACAATAGCGGCCACAATCCCCAGCAGCGCCAGGGCGACCAGGCCAAACTTCCACATGCTGAACTTCTTCAGGATGAAGAATTTAGCCCAATCCACCTTCTTCTGGCTGTTCGGGGGGTACCGAATACTGTTGGCAGCTTCCATCTTGAACGTCCGGATGAGGCAGGCGCGCCGATGGGAGAAGGTGTCGAAGCTGAAATGGCCATGGTAGGCGCCCATGCCGCTGTTACCTGTGGGGAAGAGAAGATTTCAAGGGAGGGGGTCGTAGCTGGGCCAACCTGGAGAGAACACTGCAAAAACCAGGAGACGGTGAGTTCTAGTCTCCCCTTAGACATGAAAGCCAGCTGGGCGACTTTGGGCCAATCACAAGGAGGCAGTGAGTTCTAGTCCCACCTTAGGCATGAAAGTCAGCTGGGTGACTTTGGGCCAATCACCAGGAGACGGTAAGTTCTAGTCCCGCCTTAGGCATGAAAGTCAGCTGGGTGACTTTGGTCCAATCACCAGGAGACAGTGAGTTCTAGTCCCGCCTTAGCCATGAAAGCCAGCTGGGTGACTTTGGGCCAATCACCAGGAGACAGTGAGTTCTAGTCCCGCCTTAGCCATGAAAGCCAGCTGGGTGACTTTGGGCCAATCACCAGGAGACGGTAAGTTCTAGTCCCGCCTTAGGCATGAAAGTCAGCTGGGCGACTTTGGCCCAATCACCACGAGGCGGTGAGTTCTAGTCCCGCCTTAGCCATGAAAGCCAGCTGGGTGACTTTGGCTTAAACACCAGGAGACGGTGAGTTCTAGTCCCGCTTTAGGCATGAAAGCCAGCTGGGCGACTTTGGCCCAATCACCAGAAGGCGGTGAATACTAGTCCCGCCTTAGCCATGAAAGCCAGCTGGGTGACTTTGGCTCAAATACCAGGAGACGGTGAGTTCTAGTCCCGCCTTAGGAATGAAACCCAGCTGGGTGACTTTGGGCCAATCACCAGGAGGCGGTGAGTTCTAGTCCCGCCTTAGCCATGAAAGCCAGGTGGGTGACTTTGGGTCTAATCTGAGACTCACCAACGCCTCCAAAAGGTAAACCAGGAATGGAGAAGTGCATAAGGACATCGTTGGCGGTAACTCCGCCACTCGAGGTTTCAGCAATCATTTTATCAATGACCTGGGAGACAAAAGGGAGGAGATCAAAGCAAAGGCCGTTGGATGAAAAACCGATGGCGACTCGTACTTAGGACGGATTAACGAGTAGGAGAGAATATAGACGGTCCCCGACTTACAACTGTTGATTTGGTGACCATTCAAAGTTACAACGGCACTGAAAAAAGGGACTGATGCGCGTTTTTCACACTTACGACCGTTGCAGTCACGTGATCAAAATTAGGGTGCTTGGCAACTGGTTCGCATTTACGACGGTCGCAGCGTCCCGGGATCACGTGATTCCCCTTTTGCGACTTTCTGACAAGCAAAGTCAAGGAGGAGAGCCGGATTCACTTAACGACCGTGTTCCTAACTTAACCACCGCAGGGTTTCACTTAACAATGGTGACAGGAAAGGTCGTAAAGCGGGGTGAAACTCACTGAAGTGTCTCACTTAGCAACAGAAATTTGGGGCTGTACTGTGGTCTTAAGTTGAGGACTACCTGTACACCACAGTGGAGTCCCATTTTTTTTGTGGCTGAGGCCGTTGTTTGGTGAGCTTTGCCCCATTTTACGACCTTTCCTGCCACAGTTGTTAAGTGAATCACTGCAGTTGTTAAGTTAGTGACACGGTCGTTAAGCAAATCTGGCTTCCTCATTGACTTTGTTTGCCACACGGTCACAAAAGGGGATTACGTCACCCCTCCCGGGATGCTGTGACCGTCGTAAATACGAACAAGTTGCCAGGTGTCTGATTTTTTTTATATATGTATAACATTTTATTAATTTTCCAGTTTTACATTTAAGTATTTAAAAAGCAGCGTGGTGACTGGGTTAATCAATAGTTCGATAACAAAATCTTTAGTGCAAATCTCAGGTTACAACATCAGATATTTCTTCTCTTTTTCCCCTTAACGTTTACGTCTCGTATTCAAACTAGTACATTTCTAATTATATTAACTCAATGAAGATATCATTATTACATTTATCAACAAACTTTTAGCTTATACGTATCTTAATTACATCCAATCTTCATAAACCATCCGTCTCCTGTTATTAATTTTTGCCCAAGTTTTAGTTTCTCGTCAGTCTTCCAATTTAACCTTTGATATTTATAATTTTCAGGCTTTGGGTAACCAAGATTTCTCTTTGTCTCAATTCATAACAAAATCTAATATCCAAAATACAAATGTTATCTATTTGAGTGTAATCTTGTTCTATTTCCTAAAAGTTGTCTATTTCCCACCATATTAAATCATCTCTTTAATAATACAATGCCTGAATTTTGATCCTGTGACCATGGAGAATGCCGTAACAGTCATGTAAAAAACGGTCCTAAATTGCTTTTTTCAGTTCTGTTGTAATTTTGAATGGGTCACTAAATGAATGGCTATAGGTCAACAAAAAAATAAAATAATAAATAAATAAATAAATAATAAAATAAAATAAGATAAAATAAAAAATAATAAAATAAAATAAGGTAAAATAAAAATAATACAATACAATAAAATAAGATAAAATAAAATAATAACATAAAAAATAAAAAAATAAAACAATATAAAATAAAATAAAATAAAATAAATAAACATAACATAACAAAACATAACAAAACATTCAATTAACACCTGGAGAAAAAACTGGTGCTGAAAAAGACTACTGGTAGTCCTGGAATTACAGCAAGAGCTGGGCCTGGAATATTATAATAATAATAATAATAGTAAAGTTGGAAGGGACCTTGGAGGTCATCTAGTCCAACTCCCTGCTCAGGCAGGAAACCCTATACCATTTCAGAAAAATGGCTGTCCAGTCTCTTCTTAAATACTTCCAGGGTTGGAGCATTCACAGCTTCTGGAGGAAGGTTGTTCCACGGGTTAATTGTTCTAACTGTCAGGAAGTTATTGGTTATAAATTTTTTGGTTCTGAGACACTTATGTGATCCCTTTGCTTAACAACGGCTACCCAGGCCTTCCAGATGTGGTTGTTAAGTGAGGACTCCCTATATATCGTGAAGTATTAATACCACTTTACAAGGCCTTGGTAAGGCCACACTTGGAATACGGCATCCAGTTTTGGTCACCACGATGTAAAAAAGAGGTTGGGACTCTAGAAAGAGTACAGAGAAGAGCAACAAAGATGATCAGGGGGTTGGAGGCTAAAACATATAAGGAACAGTTGCTGGAATTGGGCGTGTCCAGTTTAATGATGAGAAGGACGAGGGGGGACATGATAGCAGTCTTCCAATATCTCAGGGGCTGCCCCAAAGAAGAGGGAGACAAGCTCTTCTCCAAAACCCCTGAAGGCCGGACAAGAAGCAACGGGTGGAAACTAATCAAGGAGAGAAGCAACCTGGAACTAAGAAGAAACTTCCTGACAGTGAGGACAATTAACCAGGGGAACAACCTGCCTCCAGAAGCTGTGAATGCTCCAACACTGGAAGTTTTTAAGAAGAGACTGGACAGCCATTTGTCCGAAATGGTGTAGGGTTTCCTGCCTGAGCAGGGGGTTGGACTAGATGACCTCCAAGGTCCCTTCCAACTTTATTATTATTATTGTTGTTGTTGTTATATAAATTGGAGAAAGAAAGAAAGACGAGAAAGGAAAGAAAGAAAGAAAGAAAGAAAGAAAGAAAGAAAGAAAGAAAGAAAGAAAGAAAGAAAGAAAGAAAGAAGAAGAAGAAAGAAAGGAGATGGGAATGAGAAGGAAGGAAGGAAGGAAAGAAAGAAGGAAGGGGAAGAAAGAAAGGAGATGGGAATGAGAAGGAAAGAAGGAAGGAAGGAAGGAAGGAAGGAAGGAAGGAAGGAAGGAAGGAAGGAAGGAAGGAAGGAAAGAAAGAAGGAAGGGGAAGAAAGAAAGGAGATGGGAATGAGAAGGAAGGAAGGAAGGAAGGAAGGAAGGAAGGAAAGAAAGAAGGGAAGAAAGAAAGGAATGGGAATGAGAAGGAAGGAAGGAGGAAGGAAGGAAAGAAAGAAAGAAAGAAGGAAGGGGAAGAAAGAAAGGAGATGGGAATGAGAAGGAAGGAAGGAAGGAAGGAAGGAAGGAAGGAAGGAAGGAAGGAAGGAAGGAAAGAAAGAAAGAAAGAAAGAAGGAAGGGGAAGAAAGAAAGGAGATGGGAATGAGAAGGAAGGAAGGAAGGAAGGAAGGAAAGAAAGAAGGAAGGGGAAGAAAGAAAGGAGATGGGAATGAGAAGGAAGGAAGGAAGGAAGGAAGGAAGGAAAGAAAGAAAGAAAGAAAGAAGGAAGGGGAAGAAAGAAAGGAGATGGGAATGAGAAGGAAGGAAGGAAGGAAGGAAGGAAGGAAGGAAGGGAGGAAGGAAGAAAGGAACTATACTTCTTAATAAAAAGTCAAGTTTTATATCAGGAGGAGGTGATCACTCCAGGTACCTCAATTTAAGGGCTTCTGAATCGGTTAGCCAGGACCCGGAGCCCGCCTTGAACGTGGGAAGGCAAAGCCTACCTTGTTGTTGCTGGAGAAGACGTAGAGGGCCAGGGGCTTCTCCCGCTGGTTGATGAACTGGATGGCTTCTTCTACTCCCTTCACTGCCACAATGGGCAGGAGCGGACCGAAAATCTCTTCCTGCATGATTCGGGCTTCCGGATTGACGTCCGTGAGGATTGTAGGAGCTAGAAAGAGACGAAGGGGGAAGGCCGTGAAAACAGCCCCGGTTCTTGGCTGCGGTTGCAGGGCCAGGGCCAGCCCTAGCGTTGGGTGAAACAAAGCGGGTCTGTTTTTAATATATCTGTATTTATATTTATTGAGACTTTTACAGAAACTAAAAGACAAATGAAAGAAGGAAAGGAAGAAAGGGGGGAGAGAGAGAGAAAGAGAGAGAGAGAGAGAGAGAGAGAGAGAGAGAGAGAGAGAGAAGGAAGGAAAGAAAGAACAAAAGAAAGAACGAAAAGAAAAAAGAGGAAGGAAAGGAAGGAAGGAAGGAAGGAAGGAAGGAAGGAAAGAAAGAAAGAAAGAGAAAGGGAAAAAATGAAGGATGGAAGGAAAGAAAAAGAAAGAAAGAATAAAAGAAAGAAAGAACAAAAAGAAAAAAGAGGAAGGGAAGGAAGGAAAGGAAGGAAGGAAAGAAAGAAAGAAAGAAAGAGGAAGGGAAAAATGAAGGATGGAAGGAAAGAAAAAGAAAGAACAAAAGAAAGAAAGAAAAGAAAAGAAAAAAGAGGAAGGGAAGGAAGGAAGGAAGGAAGGAAGGAAGGAAGGAAGGAAGGAAAGAAAGAAAGAAAGAGGAAGGGAAAAATGAAGGATGGAAGGAAAGAAAAAGAAAGAACAAAAGAAAGAAAAGAAAAGAAAAAAGAGGAAGGGAAGGAAGGAAGGAAGGAAGGAAAGAAAGAAAGAAAGAGGAAGGGAAAAATGAAGGATGGAAGGAAAGAAAAAGAAAGAACAAAAGAAAGAAAAGAAAAGAAAAAAGAGGAAGGGAAGGAAAGAAGGAAGGAAGCAAGGAAAGAAAGAAAGAAAGAGAAAGAAAGAAAGAAAGAAAGAAAGAAAGAAAGAAAGAAAGAAAGAAAGAGGAAGGGAAGGAAGAAAGGAAAGAAAGAAAGAGGAAGAGAAAAAATGAAGGATGGAAGGAAAGAAAAAGAAAGAACAAAAGAAAGAAAAGAAAAAAGAAGGAGGAAGGGAAAAAATAAAGGAAGGAAGGAAGGAAGGAAGAAAGAAAGAAAAAACAGAGGAAGGGAAAAAAATGAAGGAAGGAAGGAGAGAGAGAAAGAAAGAAAAGTGGAGGGAGGGAGGGGTGAAGGAAAAGATAGATGAGGATTGTTTTTTTAAGAAGTGAACCCATTAAACTTTGACGTGACCTGTTTATTTTTTACACTTAGGTCAACCTCCAATTTTTGGATGCCCCCAATTTCTTAGAATAAAGAGCTGAAAGGGACCTCAGAGGTCTTCTAGTCCAACACCCCCCCACGCTCAAGGCAGGAGACTTAGTTGATACCATCCCTACGCAATATATCAAAGGTGTTCAATAAATTGAGGGACCGTCGTGTTTTCTCCAGGGGGAGATCTTTGGGGCGCATGATTTGTTTTGGGGCTCACCTATGAAGCAGGCAGACTCGTCACTTTCTCCCCCGAAGGCCACCTTCTGCCCTTCCAACAGGCCCATCAGCCGCTTGAAATGCCGCTTGTTCACAATCCGCTCGTAGTCCGGGGAATCTTTGATGTTCTCGCCATAAAATTCCTGCGAGGGAATCAAGACCAACGGGTTGCTCTCTAGGACTAAAGAATCAGGACTGGCCTGGGCTTTACAGAGAGTCCTCAACTTACGACCACAATAGAGACAGGAACTTCCATCACTAAGAGAGACAGTTAAGTGAGTTGTACCTGATTCTTATGAGGGAGGGAGGGAGGGAGGGAGGGAGGGAGGAAGGAAGGAAGGAAGGAAGGAAGGAAGGAAGGAAGGAAGGAGAAAGGTAAGAATAGGAAGGAAGGAGAAAAGGAAGGAAGGAAGGAAGGAAGGAAGGAAGGAAGGAAGGAAGGAAGGAAGGAAGGAGAAAGGTAAGAATAGGAAAGAGAAAGGAAACAACAGGAAGGAAGGAAGGATGGAAGGAAGGAAAAGAAAAGGGAGGAAGGGAAGAAATGAAGGAAGGAGGAAGGAAAGAACGAGAAAGGTAAGAATAGAAAGGAAGGAGAACAACAGGAAGGAAGGAAGGAAGGAAGGAAGGAAGGAAAGGAAGGAAAGGAAGGAGAAAGGTAAGAATAGGAAGGAAAGAGAAAGGAAACAACAGGAAGGAAGGAAGGATGGAAGGAAGGAAGGAAAAGAAAAGGGAGGAAGGGAAGAAATGAAGGAAGGAGGAAGGAAGGAAGGAAGGAACGAGAAAGGTAAGAATAGAAAGGAAGGAGAACAACAGGAAGGAAGGAAAGAAGGAAAGGAAGGAAGGAGAAAGGTAAGAATAGGAAGGAAAGAGAAAGGAAACAATAGGAAGGAAGGAAGGATGAAAGGGAAAAGAAGAGGAGTAAGGGAAGGAAGGAAGGAAGGAAGGAAGGAAGGAAGGAAGGAAGGAAGGAAGGAGAAAGGTAAGAATAGGAAGGAAGGAGAAAAGGAAGGAAGGAGGGAGGGAGGAAAAGAAGGAAGGAAGGAGAAAGGTAAGAATAGGAAGAAAGGAGAACAGGAAGGAAGGAAGGAAGGACGGAGGGAGGGAAGGAAGGAAAGAGAAAGGAAACAATAGGAAGGAAGGATGGAAGGAAGGAAAAGAAGAGGGAGGAAGGGAAGAAATGAAGGAAGGAAGAAGAAAAAAATAGGAAGGAAGGAAGGAAGGAAGGGAGGGAGGGAGGGAGGAGAGAAGGAAGGAAAGAGAAAGGTAAGAATAGGAAGGAAAGAGAAAAGTAACAATAAGAAGGAGAAAGAAAACAATAGGAAGGAAGGAAGGAAAAAAAGAGGAAGGGAAGAAATGAAGGAGGGAAGGAAGGAAGGAAGAAGGAAAAAATAGGAAGGAAGGGAGGGAGGAAGGAAAGGGAAGGGAAGGGAAAGGAAAGGAAAGAAGGGGACAGATTATTCCAGCCTGATTTTCTTCAGTATAAAAGGGAAGAAAGAAACACCTGTATTTACTGTATTAAAATTCTGTTCCTTCATCCTGGAATCCCCGTGGGCTTTGTCTCGTGGCCTGGCCTACCTCGAAGGCTTGTGAGGGTGTGGATTACACCCTTCCCCTGCAGTTGCATCCACCGGGAGGCTTTTGCTGAGCCTTCAGTGCAAAACTAAGCAATTTCCATTTTATTCTCCTCCCAAATATTTGTGCTGCTACTTGCAATGGAAGTTGCTCTGCCGCTCATCCCAGCAGACCAAATAGGTGTTCTCTGGAGTTTTGCTCAAGGAGCAAGCTACGTTTCTCAACATTCATTCGCCCGGAGGCTTCCAATGCCAAGCCGTGATGCCCTCACGACCCTGTCTTGCCCCCAACGGGAGTGGCCTTTACCACGACACAGAAGACCCCCGGCCTAGTTCTCACCTTAATGTTCTTTTTAAGGGCCTCCACGACGGTCTTCTGAATGGATGGATTGCATAGGATATAATCCGGAGCGATGCAGGTCTGGCCACAATTCATGTACTTCCCCCAGGCAATCCGCCTAAAGGAATTTAAAAAAAACAACAACAGAATATTACAGCAGGAAGGGGCTCTAGAGGTCATCCAGCCCAACCCCATGCTGAGGACAGGCATCCACATTAAAGGTGGTCTTCAACTTACAACTGTAACTGGGATTACGCTCCAAAGTCAATGCTTGTCGTGAAATGGGTCACCACGAGACCGACCCAATTTTACAACTTCTTTTTTTTGGAAGCGTTCGCTAAGCAAATGCTGCGGTCATTAAATGAATCAATTGCCTGCAATGGCTGTTTTTTTTTTTTTTACTGGAAAATGGAAGGAAATGCAAAAAAAAAAATTGGGCAAAAAAATATTAAAAATTAAAATCGTAGTCATGTGACTGCGGGACGCTGCAAATGCCCCAAAGGTGATCATGTGACCAGGGGGCGTGGCCTCCAGTCCATGGAAAAACCTTTCTCTACAGAACTGGTCTCTGGTGTGCAAAAGGTTGGGAGACCTCTGGTATAGGGTCTCCTGCTTGAGCAGGGTATTGGACTAAATGACCTCCAAGATCGCTTCCAATTCTGTTATTCTATAATTCCAATCCAACTCGGCACAACCCAACCCAACCCAATCCAAGATTGAATTGAATTGTCAAGATTGAATTGAATTGCTATGACGCCTGCTAACTTCATCATCTTGCTAAACAAAAGGGGGAGGGAACGCAATGGAACACCAAGAAGCCGTTCATGGACCATGAAAGCCTGCACCAGCCAAGGTTGTTGCCATAGGTGATGGAGAAATGGACTGTTCCCATAACAAAAAGTAATGGTACGACTGGACAATGTGAAAATCCAGTGGGTGGGGGCATAGGAACCTATCTTTTAACTAAGCAAGTTTTTGTGTGAGAAAACTCAAAGCTGGTTTCACTTCTTCAGTTCTGAGATGCTGTACCCAATTAAGTTTTGCCTGCTGGGACTTAATTGACTTCATGATTCTTTTTCTTGGGTTCACTAGTTGGATTGTTGACACGCAACCAACTCAACCCAACCCAACTCAATTCAACCCAGCCCAATCCAACTCAACCCAACTCAATTCAACTCAACCCAACCTAATGCAACCCAACCCAATACAACCCAACCCAATTTAAGTCAATGCAACCCAATCTAGCCCAACCCAACTCAATCTAACCCAACCCAACTCAACCTAACCCAATGCAACCCAACCCAACCCAACCTAATTCAATGCAACCCAACTCAACCCAACCCAATCAACCCAACCAACCCTAACCCAAGGCAACCCAACTCAACTCAACCCAATGCAAGCCGACCTAACCTAACCCAATGCAACTCAACCCAACCCAACCTAATCCAATACAACCCAACTTAACTCAACCCAACCCAACCTAACACAATGCAACCCAACTCAACTCAACCCAACCCAACTGAACCTAATCCAATGCAACCCAACCCAACCCAACCCAACCGAACCTAATGCAATGCAACCCAACCCAACCCAACCTAACCCAATGTAACTCAACCCAACCCAACCTAACCCAATGCAACCCAATTCAATTCAACCCAACTCAACCTAACCCAATGCAACCCAACCCAATCAATCCAATGCAACCCAACGCAACCAACCAAACTCAACCCAACCAAACTCAACTCAAATTAGTTAATACCAAATCCAAAATCCTGGCACCTCACCTGCAAGCCACCTCAAGATTGCAGCCCTCATCGATGTAACAGGGGCTCTTCCCTCCCAGCTCAAGAGTGACGGGGGTGAGATGCTTGGAGGCAGCTTCCATGACAATTTTGCCCACAACGCTGTTGCCGGTATAGAAGATGTGATCATATCTTTGCTTCAGCAGTTCCGTTGTTTCCGGCACTCCCCCGTTGACAACCGGATACAAGTCCTGGGGGAGGACAGGGGATAAGCGCCAATGAAAATCAATGTATTGATCGCCAAGTCGTCTTCGGCTTCCAACAGTTCATTTAGCGACCGTTTTGAAGTTACAACACAGAACTGGAAAAAGCGACTTAGGCCTGTTTTTCACATTTACAACTGTTGCGGCATTCCCCCTTGGCTACGTGGTCAAACGTCAGCTGCTTGGCACAATGGATGCCAAAATTTCCACCGCTAAATGGGGCAGTCGTTAAGGGAGTTTTGCTCCGTTTTACGACCTTTCTCGCCGCCATTGTTAAAAAGGGAATCACTGCAGTTGTTAAGTTAGAAACACAGTCGTTAAGTGAATCGGACTCCCCTCCCATTGACTTTGCTTGTCAGAAGGTCGCAAAAGGGTATTGTGTGACCCTCCCCGGGGACGCTGCAACCGTCCTAAGTACACGCCAGTTGCCAAGCGTCCAAATTTTGATCACGTGACCACGGGGATGCTGCGACAGTCGTTAAGCGTGAAAAACGATCTTAAGTCATTTTTTTGTAACTTCAGTCATTAAACGAATGGCTGTAAGTCCAGGATGACCTATAGTTGCGTTTTTTTTGTAAAGCTAGAGTCCCTCCCACTGTCTTTATTCAGCAATTCTTTTGCCTTTCTATCCTGTTTGGAGGGAAACACACCCACACCCTCAAAAACACACAAGTCCTGGGCTATTGGCAAACTTAACGCAAAGTCACACAACAATGGTTGTTCACACTGACCTTGTCAATGTATTGAGGGAGCAGCTTTTCAAACATCTTGGCTGTGTTTTCACTGACCTCCGACGGCTTGATCACCACAGCATTGCCTGAAAGACACGCAGATTCAAGCTGGGGAATTTAAAAGGTCCTCTGGAGGTCATCTAGTCCAACCCCGCCCTCCAGAACACGAATGACAGGTAATCTTTAACTTATCGCCACATCTGGGGCCAGGTTTTCCCCTGAGAAGCAAGGGAGACCATTTTACGCCCTTCTTTGCCACGGTTGTAAAGTGAATCCCCCCACGGTCGTTAAGCGGATCGCGGAGATGTTAAGCGAGTTGCGTTCCCCGTCCACTCATCAGAGTTGTAAGTAGCTTTTTTGGTGGTCCGTCACCACTTCGAATTGTTGCTAAGCTCCCAGTTGTAAGCCAAGGGCTACCTGCATTTATTCTGTCTTTTATCAATTAATGGAAACGAATGTTATTTTACGGATCTGATGGCTACTTTTGCTACGTCTTATGATATAGGTAGTCCCCGACTTACGACAGTTCATTTAGTGACCATTCAAAGTTACCACAGCACTTTGAAAAGTGACTTACGACCATTTTTCACACTTAGTAATAGTAATAGTAGTAAAGTTGGAAGGGATCTTGGAGGTCATCTAGTCCAACCCCCTGCTCAGGCAGGAAACCCTACACCATTTCGGACCGTTGCAGCAGCCCTGTAGTCACGTGATCAAAATTCGGACACTGGGCAACGGACTCACATTTATGACAGCCGCAGTGTCCCAAAGTCGTAAAATGGGGCAAACTCACTTAGCCAATGTTTCACTTAGCAACATAAACGTCCATTGCGGTCATAAGTTGAGGACTATCTGTGTGTGCCAAGCACCTATTTCCTTGGATGGATATATATATTATTTAACCCATGGTAGATTATCCGACACTCTCCCGGGCAAGCTGGTTGCACAACACATCTGTTGTGTTCTTGCTGCATTTTTCCTCATCCCTCCCCATCGCTTTTTCCTCGCTTGCTATGACTTTCAATCTGATAAAACAGGGCTCACCAAACTTTTCAGATTGGCAGCCTGGTGGGACAGGGAGGGGCAGGTGCTTTACATGCACATGTGCAAACGTGAATGTGGCGATACACGCATGCACCCGTACAAACGGGCTGCAAGCATGTGCACAAACGGGACTGCAAGCATGTGCGCGAGAGTGATGGCCGTGCCTGTGTGAGGCTTGTGGTGCCGCTGCTGCCAGGCTGGTGGCAATGCTACCACCAGTGCAAGGCTCACGCCACGGCCCGCAGCAATGCCACCCCTGGCACAAAGTTCATGCCACCGCTCCCATGCGAGGTTTGTGCCACTGCCCTGTGCAAGCCACGGCCCGCAGCGATGCCACCCCACCAGGAGGCTCACACTGCCACGGCCACGCGAGGATCGTGCCACGGCCCGCAGCAATGCTACCCTGGCGCGAAGCTTGTGCCGCCGTCCCCGCGCAAGGATTGCGCCGCAGCCCGCAGCGATCCCACCCCAGCACAAGGCTCGCACCCCCCTGTGCAAGGATCATACTGCGGCCCACCTGCCTCTTGCGGTGCTGCACCGCCCACACAAGGTTCGTGGCAATGCCGCTACCCGTATGTGGCGCGCTGCCGCTCACCTGCCACTCGTGGCGCTGCTGCCTCTCGTGCACGTTTTGTGGCAACACTGCTGCCCACACGATACTAGCGCCACTGCCACCACCTGCACAACACTTGCGGCAACAGTGGCACCAGGGAGGGTGCACTGCCCAGCTACTCACGTGGCCCGGTGGCCAAGAGGCCACGGCCCAGTAGTGGGCCGCGACACATAGATTGGGGACCTCTGTGATAAAACATTCAAAGAGAACCTGTAGGGCAGAGGTCCCTGACCTTTTGGGCACCAGGTTGCTAGAATTGGGTATGTCTAGTTTAACGAAGAGAAGGACAAGGGGGGACATGATAGCAGTATTCCAATATCTCAGGGGCTGCCCCAAAGAAGAGGGAGTCAAGCTGTTCTCCAAAGTGCCTGAAGGCAGGACAAGAAGCAACGGGTGGAAACTCATCAAGGAGAGAAGCAACCTAGAACTAAGCAGAAACTTCCTGATAGTGAGAACAATTAACCAGTGGAACAGCCTGCCTCCAGAAGCGGTAAATGCTCCAACACTGGACGTTTTTAAGAAGAGACTGGACAGCCATTTGTCCGAAATGGTGTAGGGTTTCCTGCCTGAGCAGGGGGTTGGACTAGATGACCTCCAAGGTCCCTTCCAACTTTACTACTATTATTATTACATATGAGGGCTAATTTAGGGAGGGAACATGCTGATAATTTAACTGCTCAGAGGAAGAGAACTTAGATCCTAGCATCCCTCCGTTGTGCCTGTGCCGACATTTTGTAACAATAAAAGACTTTTAGGAAAATCAATGCCTGGAAGTTCTTTTATTGTTACAAAATGTCTTGGCACAGGCACAACGGAGGGATGCTAGGATCTAAGTTCTCTTCCTCTGAGCAGTTAAATTATCAGCATGTTCCCTCCCTAAATTAGCCCTCATAGCTCACACTATCCAATTAATGTGAAGGTCAAAGGTTTTCTTCCTCTTTCTTTCCCTGGGCTTTACCCCCAACGCCCCTTCTGCTCTTTATTAGCCCCATATTTACCAGACAATTCTGCATATTGTCAAAAGCAAGAATATACAATATTTGCAGCGTTGACATGGAGAGTGTGCGGTTTTGTGTGCTGCCTGCATCCCGCGGATGGGGCTTTCCTTGTTTATACGGACTGGTTGCTGGCATGCCGTGGCCCGCTACTGGTCCACGGATGGGGGGTTGGAGACCCCTGCTGTAGGGCATTAAAAAAAAACCCCAGAAATCAAACCAGTGAGTAAACCACGCACCTGCAGCAATGGCGGCTATCAGAGGGTGCATGATCAAGGCGAAGGGGTAGTTCCACGCCCCGATGAGCAGGACCAGACCGAAGGGCTCACGATGGATGTAGGTCTTGTCGCTCAGCGTGAGGATGGTCTTCTCCACGGCCTGTGGGCTCGCCCAGTCGGGAAGCTTGTCCATCATCAAGTCGATCTCTCCCAGCACGATCAGAAACTCATAGCTGAAGCTGTTGTATTCACTCTGTAAAGAGTCGCCGATGTGTCAGTTAAGAGGCGATAGGGCAGCGGTTCTCAACCTGTGGGTTGGCACCCCATTTGGGGTCGAACGGCCATTTCACGGGGGTCGCCAAACAACGCAGTCCGCCATTTTTTCCCCCCTTTTCCTTGGCTGTGCTACTCCCTTTTATTCTATCGGCTTTTGAAAGCCAATAGAAGAGACTCTCTTGAATAGAGTCTAATTCTATTGGCTTTCAAAAGCCAATAGGAATCGTCCAGGCTGTCTCTGCCCTGCCGAGCCGGCCAAAAGTCCCATTCTGCAAACGGTGCTGCACCAGTTGAGTAGTCCTCGACTTACGACCGGTTGAGCAGTCCTCGACTTACGACCGGTTGGGGGGTCGCGGCATTAAAAAGGTTGAGAACCACTGCGATAGAACATCGTTGAATAAATAAAGGAAAATAAATAAAGACAGGCAAGGTTCGGCCCCCGGCAGCGAGATGGGTACCAAATAAATTTAATAAACGAAGAGTAAGAGCTTTTGTTTAAAACTCCCATAGTAGTGTCCAAAATTGTGGAAAAGCTTTTGGGAAAAGTGTATTTTTGAGGTTTGATGGCTAATAACACCGCTTTTTTTTTTTTTTTTTTGGAGTAGTACCATAAAATTATATATCAATGGAAAGATAATTTAATCAAGAATGTAATGCAACATAGTTTGTTCAATTATCTGTACTGTGTTCTGTGAAAAGTTAAAACCAAATAACCAGAAAAAGGAAGCACACCTTGCTTAGGTTGATCTCAGGTAATAATAATAATAATAATAATAATAATAATAATAATAATAATAATAATAATACCACTTGAACACCATTGGCATTGACAAATTTGCTATTAGTCAATTGCAACAGGCGGCCTTATTAGGAACTGCTTCCATCCTGCGACGATACCTGTAATACCATCAAACATCCACATCTGCCTATCCCAGGTCCTGGGTAAGGACTCGATAGGTAGACAAAATGCCAAATCCAGTCTGAACATCTGGCTGACTGTGCGATGATTGATAATAATAATAAAGTTGGAAGGGACCTTGGAGGTCATCTAGTCCAACCCCCTACTCAGGCAGGAAAATCTACACCATTTCGGACAAATGGCTGTCCAGTCTTTTCTTAAAAACTTCCAGTGTTGGAGCATTTACTGCTTCTGGAGGCAAGGAGTTCCACTGATTAATTGTTCCCACTGTCAGGAAGTTTCTCCTACAATCAGGTGAAGGTAGCTTTCCTTCACCTGATTGTAGCCAATGAGTGTGAGTGTTTAGAGAGCCAATTGGGTGTCCTCTTGTTTTGGCCATGAGCCAATCAGATCACAGTAGGATTCGTTGATGGATGTCCTGCATTGAAGCCGAGAGGAGGACATTTGTCAGTGTGTTGTGTGACGGCTAGCAAGTTGGTTGGGTTTTTTTGTGTTCTTTCCTTGAGTGAGCTTGTAAAACGGAATAAAATGAAAGTCATGGGGCAAAGAGTTGACTGGTCGCCCAGAAAGCAATGTAAAATAGTATTATTAAGCGAACAAGGCTACAGTTATAAAGAAATGAGAAGAAAAATGGGTGGAAACTTAACCAAAGGTGGCTTTTCTACTGTACACTTTTCCCAAAAGGTTTCCACAATTTGGACCACGACTGTATATTTCCTCCATGTATGAAGGAGAAGGAGGGTGGGAAAATCTTGAGTTTTTTTCTCACACTTTCCTGATTTCCTGGGGTACGAACTGTACCGCATATTTTCTTCCTTTTCGGCATAAAACCTTACCGCCTCCCCAGGAGAGAGCAACAGCCCCCACTTCGATCTCCCCAGGCCCCCTCCCATCCAGTTTTCCTGAAACCCTTCCAGGAGGAGAACTCTTGAATCTCTTTATTTATTTATTTATTTATTTATTTATTTATGAGACTTATATACCGCTTTAAGTGCAAGCACTCTCTAAGCGGTGTACACCAGTAAGCAATGTATATATATATATATTTACATTGCCCCCAACAATCTGGGTCCTCATTTTACCTACTCCGAAAGGATGGAAGGCTGAATCAACCTTGAGCCGGTGAGATTTGAACCGCTGACCTGCTGAACACAGTCAGCTAAAGTGGCCTGCAGTACTGCACTCTAACTGCTGCGCCACCTCGGCTCAACAACTAACCCCTTTACCATAGAAAAACATTATCTTCTCACTCTTCAAGCAAGACCACCCTGGCCCTGGTTGAAGTAGGTCCTCACCCCACACCAGCCAGAGAAAATCCCAGGTCGACTGCATTCAGACAACCAAACAGCTACTTGGGAATCCTCTCCCTCCCAGGCGTTCTCCATGCCACCGTCAACTCAGCCGAAACGCTACGGCACAAACCTTGTTGAGATCCGCCTTGAGGGCTGCGGAGAATTCTTTCTCTTTCTCCTGCACCATCTTCTTTAAGGCCTTCAGCTGCTGCATCCGGAAAGCCAACGGGCGGGTCTTGCCCGTGTTGAAGGCCACCCGGGCCTGCTCCACCGTTTGCTTTAACTTCTCCATTGCTCCTTGGAAGCTGCGAGAAGAGAGAAAAAGTCAGTCAGGATAACTAATTCTCAATAAGGTCCAATGCGAGATAGCGCTGATGATGTTAGCTAGTTTGGTAAGGAAACGTCTGCAAGAAACCACTCAGCTCAGAGAGCACCAAGGACCCCCACAGTCTGCCTCCTCCTCTTTCTTCTTCTGTTCCTCCTCCTCCTCCTCCTCCTCCTCTTCTTCTTCCTCTTGTCTTCTTCTCCTCCTTCTCCTCCTCCCCCCTTCCCTTCTACCACAGATGACATAACCTAGTTGGGTCATGAACCGTCTGCAAGGAAACTACGCAGTTCAGAGAGCACCATGGACCCCCCCAGTCTGCCTCTTCCTCTTTCTTTTTGTTTCTCCTCCTCCTCCTCCTCCCTTCTAACACTGATGATGTTCCCTAGTTGGGTCATGAAATGTCTTCAAGGAAACCCCTAAGCTCAGAGAACACCAAGGACCCCCACAGTCCTCCTCCTCCTCTTCCTCCTCCTCCTCCCACTAACCCCAGTCCCTTCTGGCATTCATGACATTCCCTAGTTGGGTCATGAACCATCTGCAAGAAAACAATCAAACTCAGGGAACACCAAGGACCCCACAGCCCCCCTTCTTTTCCTGCTCTTTCTCTTCCTCCTTCCCTTCACTACTCTCCTTCTCTCCAATTGTCCCTTGTAGCACTGATGATATTCCCTAGTTGGGTCATGAAAGGTTTGCAAGAAAACAACCTCAAAGGGCACCAAGGAATCCATAGTCTTCTTCCTCTTTCTCCTCCTCCTCCATTCCACAAACCTCTCTCTCTTCTAGCACTGATGATGTTACCCAGGGAATTTCGAAACAGAGCCAAACTTCCAGAAGCGAGAGAAACAGCCTCTTCCCCTGATGAATTCCTGCCTCTGCAAGAAGAACTTGCCCCCTTTTTGCACTTAAACCTGCACAATGTTGTTGTTGTTAATTGCGAAGTCGTGTCCGACCCGTCGCGACCCCATGGACAATATTCCTCCAGGTCTTCCTGTCCTCTACCATCTTCTGGAGTCCATTTAAATTCACACCTACTGCTTCAGTGACTCCATCCAGCCATCTCATTCTCTGTCGTCCCCTTCTTCTATTGCCCTCAATCTTTCCCAGCATTAGGCTCTTCTCCAGTGAGTCCTTCCTTCTCATTAGGTGGCCGAAGTATTTGAGTTTCAACTTCAGGATCTGGCCTTCTAAAGAGCAGTCGGGGTTGATCTCCTCTAGGACTGACCGGTTGGATCGCCTTGCAGTCCAGGGGACTCGCAGGAGTCTTCTCCAGCACCAGAGTTCAAAGGCCTCCATTCTTTGGCGCTCAGCCTTTCTTACGATGCAACTTTCACAGCCATGTGACCCCCTAAAAATTGACCCCTTTTTACCCATCGCTGCTCCGCACACACACACACCCCCGCCCCCTCAATCCCTCCTGTCCTGCCAATCCTGAAATCCTGTTTTTTCCAGCCAAATTCTTGCTTGTTGGGCAGAAATTACAGGCAGCTCCATCTCTCTCTCTCTCTTTTTTTTTTTTTGGAGCAAAGCAGGCAGACATTCGCCAGGAGAAAGCAGCTTTGCTAAGGCATCTTCTCTTTTTCAGCAGGCAGAAATTCAACAGGACCAGCTGTGTTTTTTAAGCCCTGGCAGAAGTTTAAGCAAGAACTTTCCCCCTACCCCCCAGTCCCAAATTAGGCAGGAATTCCACAGGGCGATCCTCCCCGCCCAACTTTCGCCTTACCTCTGCAGAATCCGGGACGCAGCAGGTAGGCACTCAACGGGGACAGCTGCCTGACCCCCAGCGGCAGACCCAACCAAGAGTTTGGAGGCTCTGCACCTGTTGAACTTCCGCCTGCCTTGCTAGGAACTAACAGCCTCCAGCACCGTCCTCAGACCCAACCTTTATACTTTGCAACAACCATCCCCACGTCTTTCAACTCCCGCCCGCGTTCAGCGATGCGCCACTCCTACGCGTGGCTCTCCGCCAGGCAATCCGATTGGCCCTTCCGCCTTCCGGCCCCGTGCCCGACTTCTGGCAGGCTCTCTTCCGGTCTAGGCAAAGCCGTGCCCCGTCCAGGCGCTTGCGTTTCTTGTCCTCCCGCGGGTCTCTGGAGAGGTCTCGCGAGACAGCCTAATAAGGCGCCCAACGGAGACCAGAAACCTGCTCTCTGCTGCCGTTAGCGGTGATCTGCGGTACTGTGGGCGCCTTTTGCAGATCGTCCGCATGTACAAGAAAGGAGGCTGGCTGGATGGCTGAGGAATTCTGGGAGTTGAAGTCTCTTTAACGTTGTAAAATAGAATAGAATAGAATAGAATATGGAATCAAAGAGAATAGAATAGAATTCAGAATAGAATTCAGAATAGAATTCAGAATAGAATAGAATAGGAATAGAATAGAATAGAATATGGAATAGAATATGGAATCAAAGAGAATAGAATAGAATAGAATTCAGAATAGAATTCAGAATAGAATTTAGAATAGAATAGAATAGAATAGGAATAGAATAGAATAGAATAGGAACAGAATAGAATATGGAATAGAATAGAATAGAATATGGAATAGAATATGGAATCAAAGAGAATAGAATAGAATTCAGAATAGAATTTAGAATAGAATAGGAATAGAATAGAATAGAATAGAGTAGAATATGGAATAGAATATGGAATAGAATATGGAATAAGAATAGAATAGAATAAAATAGAATAGAATAAAATAGAATAGAATAGAATATGGAATCAAAGAGAATAGAATAGAATAGAATAGAATTCAGAATTTTAGAATAGAATAGGAATAGAATAGAATAGAGTAGAATATGGAATAGAATATGGAATAGAATATGGAATAGAATAGAATAGAATAGAATAGAATAGAAATAGAATAGAATAGAATATGGAATCAATAGAATAGAATAGAATAGAATAGAATAGAATTCAGAATAGAATTTAGAATAGAATAGGAATAGAATAGAATAGAGTAGAATATGGAATAGAATATGGAATAGAATAGAATAGAATATGGAATCAAAGAGAATAGAATAGAATTCAGAATAGAATAGAATAGAATAGAATATCTCGGGAGGGGTGAAAACAGCTGAGGGCCCAAGTTGGGAAGAGCCTATATAGGCAGTCCTTGACTTACAATCATTCGCTTAGTGACCATTTGAAGTAACATGTGACCCTTTCTCACACTTAGCTGCAGCTTCACTCTGCTCACGGGATCAAAATTCAGACACTTGGCAACTGACTCATGACAGTGGCCGTGTCCTGGAGTCATGTGATCCCCTTTTGCAACATTCTGACAAGCAACGTCCATAGGGCAGAACCCCGCTAACTGTCTCGCTTAGCAACAGAAATTTTGGACTCAGTTGACGTCGTAAGTCAAGGACGACCTGTACACCAAAAGCCAAGGGGGGGAGCCAGATTCACTTAACAACCGTGTGAGTAACTTCATAACCGCAGTGATTCGCTTAACAACCACGGGCAGAAAGGTCGTAAAATGAGACAAAACTAACTTCAGTGGGGAAATTTGGGGCTCAACTGGGGTCCTAAGTCAAGGACTGCTGGTAATTATTTGCCTCATCTGGAGGGCTCCCCTGGTGGGGAGGGGAGGCCAGGAAATCTAAAAATTCCCACACCAGAGAGAATTTACAGAAAGCCACTCACTGTCCTACTCAGAGGAAATGAACAAAGCCTCACAGTTACGAAAAGGAAGATATTTTCACCCACTGAATTACTAGCTGGCTTCGTCACTCCACTCTAAATATATCAGTCTGCCACTCAGGACCGTGCCAGTTAGCACTACAGCCAGTCCTCGACTTACAACAGTTCATTTAGTGAGCGTTCAAGTTACAACATGACTGAAAAAAGTGACTTACAACCCTTTTTCACAAATAATAATAATAATAATAATAATATAGATTGCCATTTGGAACACAACACACCAGATATCGCAGTTGTAGAGAACCAAAGCGTACAGCTGATTGATATCGCTGTACCAGGAGATGCCAGAGTCGAAGAAAAAGAACTGGAAAAAATTACAAAATATCAGGACCTGGCCATCGAAACTGCGCGATTATGGATGAAATGTGTAATAGTGACACCTATTGTCATCAGGGCACTGGGAACTATTGTCCAAAAGCTTTGCAAAATATATCAAGAAACTGTGGCTTTCCCGCAAACTGTGGCTTCCAGCAATGCTACAAAAAACTGCGCTACTTGGAACATCTTATATTTTAAGGAAATACCTGGTTGACACCTAGGATGCTGGTAGCAACCCGCGTCAACCAGCAGCACCAAACAATTTGAATGTTCAATTGATTTGAGGTTCATGTTTAATGAATAAAAGATAATAATGATAATGATAATAATAATGTTGGAAGGGACATTGGAGGTCATCTAATCCAACCCCCTGCTCAGGGAGGAATCGCTATAGCATTTCAGAAAAATGGCTGTCCAGTCTCTTCTTAAAAACTTCCATTATTGGAACATTCACTGCTTCTGGAGGCAGGTTGTTCCACTGATTAATTGTTCTCACTGAGAGGAAATTTCTCCTTAGTTCTAGGTTGCTTCTCCCTTTGGTTAGTTTCCATCCATTGCTTCTTATCCTGCCTTCAGGCGCTTTGGAGAATAGCTTGACTCCCTCTTCTTTGGGATAGCCCCTGAGATACTGGAACACTGCTATCATGTCCCCCCTCGTCCTTCTCTTCATTAAACTAGACATACCGAATTCCAGCATCCATTCCTTATATGTTTTAGCCTCCGGTCCCCTGATCATCTTTGTTGTTCTTTTCTTAAGGACCGTTGCAGCATCCCCGTGATCACGTGATTGACATTCGGACACTTCACAATTGACTCCCATTTATGACGGTTGCCGTGTCCCGGAGTTGTGTGATCCCCCCTTTTGCAAGCCAAATCCATGGGGAAGCCAGAGTGCCTTAACAACCATGTGACTAATTTAAGAACTGCAGCGATTCCTTTAACACACGTGGCGAGAAAGTTCGTAAGGCAGAGGAAACTCCCTTAACAAATTTTCTCACTGAACAACACAAATGTTGGGCTCAGTTGTGGTCGTAAGGTGAGGACCACCTGTAAACTACATTGTGATCGCCTCAATACAGTATTTCTGAGATACCACTGGGTGCAGTCAAAGAGATTAAGTCCCAGCTAGCCAAGCACGTTTTGCAAGTTGCAAATTCAACCCTACGGCAGCCTGGAGCAGGTTGGAGGTGATATAATGGTGCTTGCTGACAAAGCGGAAGCAAATGATCAGGTAGCTAGTCCTCAAGGGTTTTTTTGTTGTTGTTTTTGTTTTAGAGAAAGTTCCTAGCAAGAACAAACCTTTTGCAGCAGAGCTGAGCTGCGGCAACCTTCAGCCTAATTTCAAAAGTCATACAGAATCATAGGGTTGGAAAGGGACCTTGAGGTCTTCAAATCCAACCTTCCCCTGCTCAAGCAGTAAATCCTAGTCCAGTGATGGCGAACCTTTTAGAGACCGAGTGCAGTGGCAATGGCAGACTGGGTGGGACTAAAAAGTTCAATCAATCAATTCCAACTTTGCAAGATCTTTTTTTTTTCCCACCAGAAGTTGAAATTGACTGATTGATTGAACCTTTTTTTTTTTGCACACAGCAGCGGAGGTCTAAAGCGAAAAGGTTTTATAAAACCCAGCTGAAGGCCTAGGACTGGGGCGACAGCGCACGTGCCCACAGAGAGGGCTCTGAGTGCCGCCTCTGGCACCCATGCCATAGGTTCGCCACTACTGTCCTAGTCCATTGCAACTCCCATTCTGTTAAGATCTCCGGCTTCTGCAAAATGTCCCATTTTGCAATTGGGTTGGAGAAGAACAAAGGAGATAGGAGGGGATGGGTTGGGGAACTACAATATTCTATGTAGATTCTTCCTTTTTTTTTTTCCTACAAGAAAAGTCTTCCTTACCTGCTTTATTAAGATTCAGCAAATTGTCTGAGGTCTTTCAGGCTGGATTTGAACCCAAAATGAGGGTTCTGTTGAACAGGCTGGACGAGAAATTGCAACAGATGGAAGAAATAATTGTGCACTTCATTTGCACGAGGCCAGTCCTAAGTATTACACAAGCGTCCAAGGCCATCGACTCACAAGGCAATAATTAAATGTATTGCAGCTGGTTATCTCCTTTCAAAATAAATCTTTTATGCCATCAGTACACGTCAAGATATCTCTGGGACTTGCTTTTATGGAGCCACGAAAAATAATGCAGAAAAACAGAAGTGGACAAGGACTAATTGGCTTGTAGAGGAGAAGAAGCAGGTTAATTGTAGGCTAAAAGGAAAAGTGCCCTGGCAGTGCAAACTAGTGACTAGCGGGGAATGGGAGCTTCAAAATATGAGGTTCCATTTGGGGGGTGTTAAAATATCTCCCAAGTGTCCCTCTGTATCCCTGTAAAGATTTCTCTAGGGTGAAATGAAGCCTTTTGGGTGGAAAAGTGAAAAAAAAAGCTTGCTTATTGCGTTAGGACCTTTCAAAGATCCTGGTGTTGCAATGGCTCAAACAAAAGAGAGAAAAAAAAGTTCCTTTTTTTATTTCTGCTAAAAGTTCCCAGCACAAAAATTCCATAAGAATGAAAAAAAAAATCAGGAGCAACTGCAACGTTGTGACACCTCAAAAGTCTATTGAGACTTTTAAGAGGGTCACAATGCGGCAACTGGCCTTGATTATTATTTCTTTTTTAGGATTCGTTGCGCATATTCTTCCTTTGAAGAGGCCTCAGTAGGTTGGGTTGATTCGGTTAATTCCCCGAAGCTATATAGAATTGGTCATAAATTTTGCTTGGTGAAACCTGAAGCTCAGCTGGTTTCGAAGAATTTCTAAGAAACTCACCTCCCTCGTAGTATTGATGATGTTACCTAGTTGGGGCATGAAACATCTGCAGGAAGACAACCAACCTCTGATAGCATTAAGGACCCCACAGTCCTCCTCCTCCCCGCTGCAAACCCCCGTCCTTCTAGCACTGATGATGTTCCCTAGTTGGGTCATGAAACGTCTGC